AAAAAAAAAAAAGAAATGAAGGGACTTTGTGGTGTAGTGGTTAAGTGCTGAACAACTAACAGAAAGAATAGCGGTTTGGTTTGAGCTCATCAGGTGCTGCACAGGAGAGAGCTGTGGCAGTTGGCTGCTATAAATACAGTCTAGGAAAACCCTGGACAGGTCTACACTGTCCTGTAGGCAGCCCTGAATTGGAATTGCTTCAAAGCTGGGTTGGGGGGGGGGGCGTTGGTTTGTACGTTTTTGCAGATTTAATCAGAAATGTTACCCCAGTTTGCAAATTGTTTCAATGTTTAATGAAAAACTTGAATCAAATTCTATTATTACTCTATCCACTCTCTTTCCCCAGGGTCCTCTTTTACGAATGCAGTTACCTCTCTCATCTTCTCTATCCCCAAAGTGAAAATATAGGAAATGACGATCCATTCCTGGGTGGAAGGCCAGCGTTCCATCTTCACTAACACGATATAGTTGAAGAGCATCAGGTATCCGATGTATGCCAACTGAAAGGAAACATAATACAGAGCTCTGGCTGGGGCAGCTGAGAGCCCTGCCCTTCTTACAAGGCTACCATGTAGTGAGCGGGACATGGAATTCATGACAAGACACACTGGAAAGCACTAATTTATCAAAAGCACAAACAAAATAGTCTTTGAATAAACATGATACGCAAGCTTCCCTGACCCTGACCTGGGTCTCGGCTGACTTGCCACTTTGTTTGTATCTGTGTGACAGGACTCATCCCTTTGTTTTGTGTGTACCCAATTTTTCTGTGTCTTCTTTCTGTCAGGGACTGCCTTCGTCTATGCATGGACAATTCCAGTTCTTGATCTAGGGCAGCATGTGGATGCTTGTTTGTGAGGGTCAGGTACACTGAATGCTTGGAAGAGGAAAACCTGTAAGTTGGTCCAATCAACATAGAAATGGTCTAGATGCTATTTGGAAGCCCAGCTTGAATTCTCTGCTGAGCTAATGTCTCTTATTTTCTCCTGCTGTGAAGGGTGTGACTTGTCAATACCTTGTGAAGGTTTTGCCTCTGTTCCACTGTATCAACCTTCCTGCTCTACTCACATTGAAATTGTCTCTCTGGTTTTTGCTTCTTTGAAACAAAACAAGAGAAGAGGACACAGCTTCTAGGGAGGGGTGGGTACGTGGGTCTCCACCCCTTAAGACTGGTTCTAGCCCCATAAGGCTGGTTGCTGGATGTCCCAGAAAAACTCCTCAGTGTTCAGGTTAGTGAAAGGCCTAGAAGGATTTGGCTAAATCTAGATTAGTGGAGGATGGGAGGGCTGGTGAGATTTTTACATTAGGTGCTAAAGCAGCTCCTGAAAATCCCACCCTAAGGGACGGGTCACCTTCTAAAGGGAAGGCCTCTGGTTGAGCAAGGCATCACTTGCGGCTTCAGGGCTGTGAGTAAGGAGCTGAGAGGGGATTTACTCAGCTCTTTTATATACCCTTTGGAGTCAGCATTGCCAAGGAGAAGGCATTGCATTGTGGGCAGAGGACTGAGATCTTTAGGGTTGTGGAGAGACAGTTTAACTTTGGAGCTTAAAAAAATGGGGATGTTTGAGTTTAGATGGGAAATGGAAATGACAGCTTTATGGTGCTACAGAAAAGAAGTTTTGTCTACTAACTGCATTTCTCTTCCCTCCCTTCCCCCCCTTCCTAATAAATATACCCTTAAAATAAGCCAAAGGTATTTAATAATAAGACTTGGACACATTTGAAGATGCCACTGTGCAGCATATAATTTCCTCATCCACTAAAGGGTAAAAAGATATCAGGGTTAAGTGACATATTTAGTATGAGTATGTATCACTGAAGAGATGTCTCTCTCAACCCCTCACATCTACTGTAAATTCTAACAAGTGGTGTGTAGAACCTGAATGTTTTGAATAGAAATATAATCTTATGTGTCTTATTGAAGTCCATGGGGATCCTGCCAGAACTGGTATCCCATTTACTCACAGTACCTTTCTTGTGGCACTCAACAGACGGCAAAAGGACAGGGTTTACGCATGTGTTAATATGACAGCTGCGACTCAAAGGCACAGCCTCACCTTGTTCAACCTGGGAGCATGGAAAGGGCAACTCAAATTGTCACCTTAATCTAAGAGAATCTTCAAACAACTGCTCGAGGATTGATTTGGGCGTCACAAGTAAATTTTAGCAAATGGACAAATTAACAAATAATAAATTTGGAACTAGTAAGGGTAAGCTATGGTCTTTTGTTCCCATCTTACAGATAGGAATGCAGAAATGCAGTTGCACAGTTGTGTGAAGTTAAATAATAGTAAGAGATGTCTGACTTTAAAGTCCACACTCCTAACCACTCAATTGTGTTCTCCAAGGTTAGAAAATATTTATATTCATATAAAGGATATAAATAGGAACATTTTTGTATGCAGTATTTCTTGAGACAGAGAGGTTTCTTTTAACATTCATCTTTACCTGGGAATTTTATTTCACTAAACACAATCCAATATATTTTCATAATTTTGCATCCTCGTTTAAGACACTTAAATGCAGAGACTTTCCAATTGGTGGTAATTTTTCCTGACAGGGATAGGGAGTGCTACTGTCATTCCTGCTATTGGGAGTAATGTGGGGAGTGGATGGAGATACTGCCCAGTGTGCTCTAAGTCACAGGATTGTCCCTTCAACCCAGAATTATTCTGCCCACAATACCAACAGCGCTGAAGCTGAGAAACCCGCATTAACCCCAGTGTCAAGTGTTAGTAGCCAGGACACAAAACACACCTCTGGTCATTCGATTCCCCCTGGCCTCAGACTCAGATTATCCTGTTGCTGACTCAAGTAACTGCTGTGCAGCTGGTTGTGAAAATGGCTAAAAATACAGGCTTTCTATTCTCCATCTGGCACAGTTCCACTGTGACTGTAGAGAATTAGGGATGCCCTGGGCCAAAGCTCACCCCGAGCTCAAAGTGGCATTGAAAAGGAGGCACGAGAAACGTGCAGCCAAACCTTCTAACCAGCATGAAGCTGTTTCTGTAGCAATCCATTGTTTTATAGGCAGACAATGTTTGTGGAGTACACACACTGAATGATATTTTGGGACGGGGTGTGTAAATTGCATTGGATAGCTTTTGCTGCTTTGGTTGACATGTGGTTTAATTGTGGCTAAACAAAATAACTTGTTTGATGATACTATCAGATTGAGAGTTGTCAGTTGCTGTGGAGTTCATTTCAACTCATGGTGACCCCATGTATGCTGAGTGGACTGCTCTGTAGAGTGTGTGAGGCTCTGACCATTTGAAATCAGTGCCTCTGGGTAGGTCCAAATACCTCATCTTTCAACTAATAATCTTGTGCTCAACTGTTAATGCAACCCAAGTGAGAATTAGTTTTGCAAATATCCAAATCTAGTGGGGTTACTTCTAGGACTCTCCTCAACTCTTACCAATTGTCATGGATTTTCTCAAAATACAAGCATATAATTATGCAGTGTAGAAACTACATAATGATTCCTCAGGATCTGATAAACCAAATCATGTAATAGGACTGGGAGTGGAACACGATACTCTTTAATCCATCACAGCCCTGACCTGATCTAAGGGGGGGTCCTTTAGGGTATGTCCTGAACACCTTTTCCCTTACAAGAGCTCAATGGGAAAGAAGGTCAGCAAAGAGGAAAGATAAAACCATCTCAGTAACAGCAGGAAAGATTCACCAGGAGTGGAGTGTGTCCTTTTGGATTCAGGGGCCTGGGCTGGGAAGCTCCTTGGCACTGAAGAAAGGCAGGACACGTGGTGATCTCCGACATGTGCCTACAGCTGCTGATGGTAACGCAGGCTTTCTTTCCGAACCTCACACAGAGGGGGGCCTTCCTTTTAAGCTGTAACCCTGCATTTGGACTTCTCCTACTCTAGACTGTGAAACGGTCCTTGCCTACACCCACTTGTGGTATCTCTGTGATAACAGCACTGGATCCACTAAATGTGTTCTCAAGCCCAGAGTAGGTATCTTCCATGAGTAGTTCTGATCTTAGGGTTCATCCATCTAAAACATATAAGTGCTTTGTAAAAGGCCATCAATTTCCTGCCAGACTAGATTTGCCTCTATTTTTCATCTCACCTCTGTTTCTGTCAGTTCTCAATTTCACCATATCCTTTCTTTTTCTGTGAGGAGAAGAAATGTATCTATGGGAGCTGCTTCCCAAACACCACAAACATTGCAAAGCAATTGAAAAAGCAAAGCTGTCACGTGCTTTTTTCCATGGCAGGTGCTTATTTTATGATTCAAAGAGGAAACCACTCAGGTGCATAAGAAATGGATGCCAGCTTGTATGGCCCTCTGTAAGAAAGGAAGATGGACTTACAGTGTAGAACCAGAACTTCACGATGGGCGCATTGTAGAATTCATAGATTTTTCTCCCCAGGGGGATTAACCGATGCCTGCTCTGAACTTCCTCTTCATCCTTCTTCCTTGAGGACTCACCATTGCTGCGTCCCAGCATCGCCTACAGTGGGAGAGAACAGACACCTTCATGGCAGAGCTCTGGAGAACGTGCGGTTCAATAAGCCCATTTTACAGATGTGGAAAAGATGCTCATGGGACCTACAAGACTTGCTCAGGGCCCATCAAAGTGCCTTCCTTAATTGGACACACATATTTTGCATATAATCTGTAGGTGCCCGGGAGGTCCTCGTCTCTAAGCTGATGGAGATGTCCTTAAGAATGTAATATTTCTTTCTCTTTCCTGACAGCAGCAGCGGCAACAATAGAAATAATAGTTTAACAACACAACCAAGGCAGAATTGGAGGACATGCCAAACTGGGGAGCAAGTGAGGAATGCCCCAACGATGATAGGAATGGTGACAAGTTCCACTCTAAGTAGCAAGTTCTCGTTCAAACACTTAGAATTTAGGGGACTTTGGTCAAGTTTCCTAACCTTTCAGAAATTCAGTTTCTGAAACTGTAAAATGGAGATGATATTCATGGACACATTGCTGTCCTAACTGGTGTTAGAGCTGATTCTCTCCTGGGCTTCTAAAGCTGTAAATCCCAGTGGAGGAGATTACTTAACTTTCTCTCTTAGAACTGCTGGTGGATTTGAACCACTAGAGAGGATCAGCCTTTGGATTACAGCACAACCCCCTACACACGACACCATCAAAGATAATCCTTACACCAGAGCTCCCTGAGATAATAACTCCTGTTGTTGCTGTTGTATACCATTGAGTCAGAACTGACTCATAGCTGATCCTCCAGTAGATTTTTACAGGAAGTAATCACACAGAAGTTGAATGCCCATTGTTCTCCCCAGGATCAATGGGTGGATTTGAACCAGAAGCCTTCGAGTTGGTAGCACAGCTTCTTATTTTTTTAATTATTATTATTATTATTTTATTATTATTATTATTATTATGTGTGTGTACTGTCAAATCAGATCTGACAGTACAGGAGGAGACTGTCCCTCTTTCCCTGGCAGAACATCTGGTGGATTTGAACGGTGCACCTCTGGGATTGCAGTGCAGCTTCTTGCCACTAGGCCACCAGAGCTTATGTCCAAGGAACAGCTTAGTTTCACCTTATTGAAGAGTTCTCTTGTCTTAAAGAGTAGAATTTTAGGGTAATCTCTGGGACAGTGGTTTCCCCAGTAGTGCTAAAACAACCAACAGACCAAACTGTTGGTTTCAACTTGAACAGGATTGACTTGTAGGTTAAGCTTTACTGACTGGACTCAAGGCTGGGAAAGATCCAGTTAAAAAGAGAGTCCCAGTGGATCAGTAACCTGCTAGCTAAAAGGTTGGGGCTCTAAAACGTCTGTAAAGATGACAGCCTTGGAAAACTTAGGGCCTCATTCTGGCCTATCCTATAGGATCACTTTGAGTCAGAAAGCACAGCAATGGGCTTAAGCAACTAAGGCCTCCAAAGACGAGAAACTATGGCTGATTAATCAGAAGAATGGCCACTGTATATGCTCTGCTCAACTTGGATGGGGGATTGGAGCTTTAGAGAAAGATCTTATAAAGGGCCTGCTGGAATGAAGACTCTTGTCTGCAGGACAAGTTCATAGGCTGGTCCTCTAGGATAATCAGGAAAAGGCATTTTGTTACCTGAACAAAACCAATTTTTGTTTTCTCCTGGCAGCTTTCTCTGGATTGTTCTCACACCAATCACTGGCCAGGGTCTTGCAGAGGGGGCGGTCATATCAGGAAGCCCTTATAAAGTGGCAGTTCCAAAACTGTGAAACCTAGTTGTGTCCCTTTAATAGCTGGGTGGTATTTTTAGCTTTTGGAGATGAGCCATTTGGAGTCATGTGGTCCCCAGGCTCTAGTGGGGGCTGCAGGAGGCTGTCCCACACCCAGCTGCCCCATTACCCCTGCAGAACAAAGCTTCCATGCTCTATAATTACACCAGGAAAAAGCTAATAAAAGCTTTCCATACAGATCTCAAAATTCAATTAGGCCTGCGATTGTGAGCCTGACCCCAGTGACAGATAAAGGTTTAGCTTCTGATCAGCTGAACAGTGTCAGCTGGGAGAAGCGGCAGCTCCCAGATCATGAATCCACGTCCCTTCTCCTCCCCACGTGTGCTCTGAATTCCACCTTAACTGCCTGTTTTAGAAAGCATGCCGATTGGAAAATGGAGGGTGTTTCTGAATTTCACTGGTGTTTCTTGTAACCACTACACCTGGCTGACGGGTTTTACATAGAATTGAACCCTGAGGCCCTGTTCTTTGGGCAAAGATAAGAAATGATTAAAAGACTCAGGTCTTAACCCTTTAAATTCCCAGGAATGCTTCCGATCTGATCGGATGGTGGGGAGCAGCTATCTGACCTCATGTATTAGACAGTCTAATGTATCAGACCTAGAAGGGGCAGGTGGGTCAGGGGAATCTCTGAGCGAGAATAACCGTGTTGAGCTTTCTTACTGTCAGTTCCATGTCTTCTTCGTCTTTTTCCTTTGCAGGCTTCTCTGGTTCTTCTGGCTCCTTCTCTTGGAGGTGAACTTCCTGGGCCTGCGACATGTACGGCATGTCGTCTTTGTTCTTGAACTCCAAGCTGAGAATTGAAGGAGGAAGTAGAATTCCCAGAATTACCTAAAGTAATAATAATGATAATAATAATAATCACATTTAAAGGATTAAGATTAGTGTGGTTGCTTAGAATCAGAGGGCCTGGGGAAAGGGCTCTGTGTGTGGGTGTGTGCGCGCGCATGAGCACCTGACCTGTGTGTGACTCTGTGTGGGGACCTGGGCATCTGAATGACTGGACATACAGACGCAGAGTCATGTTTACACAGCTGGGGGAGGTTACATACAATGAATTTGGGCCAAAACAAAATTTTTGCCCAAATACATTTTACCCAGTTAACATACATTTTGCCGAAGGGGCTGGGTGGGGCTGAGGGAAAAGGAAGACAGCCTATTTTCTCCCAAAGCAAAAGAGAGAAAGACTTCTGTTGCATTTTAACCTTTAGACAGCACTTGACATTGGCTGTGAAATCAATTCATACATATGCCCACAGACTTTCATTTGCTAATGTGGTGAGTGGGGTTGGTTATGTGTCATCTGGTCACAGCCCTATAAAACACTGCCCTAAAGTGACCTTGAGGAAGTACAAGCAGGAAGGCAGGCCACTCATTGTACAGTGTGTCCCTGGCAGCATGTACACACACAGACACACACACAAACACACACACACAGACTCTCTCTCTCTCTTTGTCTCTCTCTTTCTCTGCATTCAGATTCACCTTGAGTATGCCCCACCCTCAAGTCCTGCATGAATGTCCCTTTGGGAGGAGCTAATGCTGTATTTTCACCTGCACAAACCATGTGGTTAAATTTCTATGTTGTTGTTGTTAAGTGTCGAGTCGTAGACGACTCATTGTTGTTATGTGCCATTGAGTGGCTTGCGACTCATAGCGACCCTATGTACAACAGCCCTAAACTCTGCTCTGTCCTGTGCTAATCGCACCGTCTCCGACACACCCATCCTGATTACCCCAGTCACTGAATCAATCCATCTCATAGAGGGCCTTCCCCTTCTGCGCTGTCCCTCCACCCTACCAAACATGATGCCCCTCTCCAAGGACCTGTCCCTCCTTGCAACATGTCTAAAGTATGTTAGATGGAGCCTTAGAATCCTTGCCTCCAAGGAGCAGCTCGGTTTGACCCTTTCCAGGATGAATCTGTTTGTTTTCCTAGTAGTCCATGGCACCGTCAATACTCTTCTCCAGCACCACACCTCAAAGGCATCAATTCTCCTTCTATCCTCCTTAGTCACTGTCCAACTCTCTGATGCATAACAAGTGATTGCAAAGACCATGGCCTGTATCAGACGCACCTTATTCTCTAAAGAGACACCATTGCTCTTCAGTACTTTGGAGAGGTCCCTAACAGCAGACTTTCCCATGGCAATGAACCTTTTAATTTCCTGACTGCTGGAGATGACTCATAGCGACCCTATAAACACAAGTCCTCAACACTTGGTGACTTTCATCCTTTCTCCAGGTGCATAGGGTTTCTAGAGGCAAGCTATTTATGGAAGTGGATGCCACTCCTGCTTCCAAGCTTGTTTTAATCAAGGAGGTGCTAAATCACTTTGCCCCTTTCATGGGAGGGCAGTCTCCCTCTTCCTTTGCCAGAGATGGGTCAAGATGATCCACATAGACTGAGATGCTGACAGGCCTGTTCAGATGCTCACACAGGGACTGGAGAGCAGCTAAGGGAAAAGGGTGACCCAGGATGCCGGTTCCTGGCAGGCCTGGGGAGGCTTGACTAGCAGACTGGCAGCCTTTAGGGGACATGACACCCTGTCCTTATTGCCGAGGACCTGGCTGAGCTCCCTGTCTGAGGAGGGCTTTGCAGCCATTAGCAGTTTGGCTACAGAACGCCTGGGACACACTCCATGGAACTTTCTGCACCTCTGGGCCAAGAGAGGGTACTTAACTGGGGGAGGTCAGGGAGTGGGGAAAGGGTGTTAATTCAGTCAGGGTGGCCTCAGGACATTCTTCTGTCTGGTAGCCCTTCTGCCCTGGGCTGACCTCAGAGTTGCCCAGATCAAGTAAACTTGAATCCAACTTAAGTCATAATAGTAGTCCCTGGTTGGTACAAATGGTTAATTCATTTGGCTGCTAAGAGAAAGGTTGGCATCTACCCAGAGGCACCACGAACAAAAGGCCTACATGTCTGCTCTGGAGAAGCAGCCCCTGCCAAGATGCCGGCACACAGTTCTCCCTGACATGCTCTGGGTGGTGAGCTGGAGCCCAGGGTTTTAAAGTTGTAATAGCCACAATTAAACAGGAACAGTATTTTAAAATGGTCTTTTAGTCTCGACCCTTCTAATTTGCACCTTCTTTACTTCTTTCACTTTATTTTTTTTAATTTGGAAACCAGCGGTGAAAGAAGTTAAAAAAGCAAAGCCTACACATCCTACTTCTTTCTTTTAAAAATAAATGTTTTAAAGACAGTAAAATCCCTTGCATTGTATTGCTCAGTCAATCCCAGCGGTACCCTTGCAAACACTGTACCATGTGTCTTTATTCTTTCATTGGAAGTTATTCTTTAAAGACCTAACTAAGCACATACAGTTTTCTAAAAAACAGAAATGGACTGAAACTATGAGGACTGCTCTTTGCCTTGTTTTACCTCACTTAGAACTATAGATCATGATTATCTAACAAGGTCATCTCATCTTTATTTCAAATTAAGAAAGTAATCTTTATTTCAAATTAAGAAAGTATGCAAACACAGTTGATATTAAGTCAGAGTCTGTCTATGGGAAGATGCAGGGAAGGGCCATTGGTTTCAGGGTCCCTCGGTGGGAAGGTCATCCAGGTAAGTGTCCCCCTGTGTTACAAGACTTGTACTAAAACAAAGTGGTGGCTCCAATAGTAACTGGCTGTTATATCACCTGTGAATCTGCTGAATAAAATGAATGTCTATACCAGCGATTAAAGTTTTGTTGTTTTTAGGTGCCACTGACTTGGTTCTAACTCAAAGTGACCCCATGCTCAGAGGAAAAAATGCCGCCTGCTCCTGTTCCATTTTCACAATCACAAACCCAGCAGTCTATTATTTAAGTCCATTGTTGCAGCCACTACCTCACTGTGTCTCTTCCTTGTTTTTCGTTTTGTTCATTTTTGCTGAACCTCCCCTTAAGCAAGCATGATGCCTTCTCCAGGGTCTAGACCCTCAAGATAGCATGTCCAAAGTATATGAGATGCATGTTCCCTCCTAAGTACTTCTTCCAAAACATATTTGCTCATTCCTCTGGCAGCCCACAGCATTTTCCATATTCTTCACCAAGATAATACTCATTCTTCGGTCTTCCTTATTCATTACACAGTTTTTGTGTGCTTGTGAGGAGAATGAAAATACCCTGCTTTGGGTTGAGTGCCGCTTAGTACTGAAGGTGACTGCTTTGCTTTTGAACTCATTTAAGAGTCCATAGAAGACTATTTAGTGATATAAATTAGTAAATTATTAAACTGCGAAGGGACACAGTGGAACTTGAAGTATTCATTGCTAAGTAGAAGTAGGTCAGTCTGGGAAGTCTACCTTTTATAAAAACCGATTTGGCAGTAAAACAATTTTGCATGATACAGCGATAGCGGACACATGACATTATGCATTTGTCAAAAGCCAACAAGCTGCACAACTGAGTGAGCCCTAAAATACATCATGGGCTTTAGTTAGTCATAATGAATGAGTTTGCCAAGTGTAACAATATACCACACCAAAGTGCACTATTAATAGAGGGAGGAATTGTGTTTACTTTCTGCTCATTTTGTTTATAAACCTAATACTGCTTGGGAAAAAAAGAACGTGTCAAAGTAACTGTCTACACATTTCATGTCAAGGCCTCATCTCTAGAGATGACCATCACACAAGCCCTATTGGACTTTATCAGGACTTGGGGAGCCCTTAGTGATTGTGTTTAAGAAAATGGAAACATGCTTTTAATGCTTTGTAGGGTCTAGAACCTCCCTTCTGAGGTAAGAGAGTACCCAACCACCTAAGAGATTCAGCCTGAGAACCCCACGCTCCCCCGGCCCGTCCGCCAGCAGGGGCTCCTGGGCGCTGACCTTGAGGCCTGAGTTCTTGCGCATCCGCAGCCGGCCCATCCACATGTCAGTGAGCAGCATCTGGCTACACGTGTGCGCGATGAAGTCCCGGTGCTTGGCGGCCACGGCCAGCTGTAGGCATGTGGCGTTGCTCCAGTTCTTCAGTTCGTACGTCAGCAGCTTCATAGCCAGCTGCTCATCCTGCTTGTAGGACTGGTCTAGGAGCTCCACAGCCAGCTGGCCAAAGTCCCTGAAAGACAGAATGTGTGGAGGAGTCCTTCAGCTCTGCTTGGAGCCAGTGACCAGAATGGGGACCTATAAACCAAGCTCCAAAAGGTGGCTGTTGAGTGGTGTGTGGCTAGTAGTTCATTCACTCATTACTCTTCCATCTAATTAGCAGCTATTATGCATCTACTATGGACCATGCTAAGGAGCCCTGGGTTGGCTGCTAAATATTGTTACCTAACGTCCTACTCCTAAGCCAGAGGTGGGTGACTCTACTCTGCGGCCTTCAGGCCTGCCTTTAATTGTTTTTGGTGAAACAGTCTTCTAGGTAGTATAGCCCTGGTGTACCCACTTGCTCCACAGAGGTAACTCGTGGTTGCTATGATGAAGCTGAACACTGTGAAACTGAAGAGTCAAATGCGAGAATGGCTACCCGTGGTGAACAGTGTTTGGTGGAGCTCCCTGATTAAAATAAACTTGGAAGCAGGAGTGCCCGAATAGCTTGACTCCGGAAACCCTATGAACCTGGAGAAAGGACGAACGTTATACAGGTGTGCAGGACTTTCGTTCATAGGGTCGCTATGAGTCACCTACGACTTGATGGCATTTGCCAACAACATTGGCATCCATAGACCACTCCATTGGAGGAAAAAAAGATATTTAGCAATCTGTCTCAATAAAGATGGGACAGTTCTACTCTATCCCATCACGGTTGCTGTGAGTTGGGATTAACTCCACAGGATACAATAGTAACAAGAGCCAAATCCATCACTCTTGTGTCAATGGTTATACTGTGTTGATTTATGTGTTGTTACAATGCTGGCAGCAATGCCATTAGTATTTCAATACCCAGCAGAGTCACCTATGGTGACCAAATTTCAAAGAGCTTCCAGACTAAGATTAGGAAGAAAAACCTTGTGATCTGCTTGAGAATCAAGGGAAACACTGTTAATCCCTATAGAATATGTCTGATTTTGTGCTGGAAGATGACTTCTCTAGACTGGAAGGCATTACATAAGTATTGCAACAATGGACCCAATCCACCAATGATCTTGAAGAAGGTACAGGGCTGGGCAATGACTGGCTGTGTTATTCATAAGGTCCCTATGAGTCAGAGCTGATTGGAGGACAGATATCATGCTAAGATCGGCAGTGCAAGTCAAAGAGACCATTGCCCCTGCACTCAAGGCCCCGAGTTCAAAGCATGATGGAGGCAGACCAGTAAGTCAATGATTAGAGTACAGCATGCCTTCTTAAATGGGACAACCTTCAGTTCAAATTCCAGCCTTAGTGTGTGATTGTGGAGAAATGACTTAAATTCTTTCAGCTTCGCTTTCTGCAGTTGTAAATAGTGTTATGTATAAGAGTGCCGACCTCTTGAGGGTAGTGGAGAAGATGAAATGAGGTCATCTGTGTATCTATCTTATCTATCTATCTATCTATCTATCTATCTATCTATCTATCTATCTATCATCTATCATCTCTCTCTCTCTCTCTCTATCTCTATCTATCGCCTTATGGTGCCCAATACATGTTAGTTCTTCATCTCTACCTTTTTTATGTGGAGTCTCCAGATGATGAAAGATTGGTGGTTTGAATCCACCTAGAAGTGCTTTGGAAGAAAGTCCTTGCAATCTGATTCTGAAAGGGCACAGCCAAAAAGACTTATGGGACATGGTTCTATTCTGCAACACAGAGGGTCATTGGGAGTCAGAATCAACCCAAATGACAACTGGAAACTGGAACCTTCTTTGTATACTGTTTCAGTAATACTGTTTCCCCCTTAAGCACTGGTAGCTCAGACTCTCCAGGACTTGGGATTCACGTTCTCTTCTCTTCCCCTGACCACCCATTCCATTTACAGGGTGAACAACCTGGAATTGTGGTTCAGCTCCTGGGAGATGTCATCCACCATGTCATTCTCGGAGGCTTCGTGAGCCATGGCTTTGCAAAGCTTGCAGGCCACCAGAGCCTTGGCCATGGCCTCCTCACCATGCTGCCAGAAGAACAAGGCCATCTTCTGACGCTTCATCAGGACGGCCCACACCATGAGCTCATGGAAGGGGAAAGGGAAGTGGTTGATCTCGGGGTCATCCAAATCAATGTCCACCTCCTCCTCACGCTTCTTAGTTGTCTTTCTTCCTCTCCTCAGGGGAACATCATCCTGTAATTTTAGGGACATTGGATAAAGGCCAAGTTAGAAAGAAGTCGATTCAATTTAATGAGGAGCTGTTATATAAATATATCTACTACTGGCCAAGCTTTGGATAGAGACAGAAGTTAAGTAGGCCATCTCCTATCCTAAAAAAACTCTCTTACATACATACATACATACATACATACATACATACATACATACATACATACATACTTAACTTTAGATCGTTATAATAAATGCATAAACATGATCCCATGGGAACATGTCCCTGTAATATTTTAATTCTAAAAATAGTTTCCTAAGGGGCTATTTTATCTTCCCCCTCACCTCCTCCACAGGTATGGTTACTTGTATCTCAGATGGACGGCTTTACCCTTTTCACAGAAAGGGCAAGGAGATTGTATACTGGCATTTGCATATGTAACAAAAATCGTATGAGCAAAAATAGGACGCAGATACACTGCCTCATTTCTGCAATCCTATTAGATGCATTCTTGATGTAGCTCTGGTGTTTGGATCTGTTGTCATTTGCAAACACCATCAAGCAGATTTCACTTACGGGAATTTACATGCTTTCTTGATTTTCAAGTTAGTTTTCCAAAAGGGACTTATTTCCCATTTGCAGTGTTAAGAACATAATCTCATGGTAGAATTCTAAATGTTACTATGACATATCCACTTGACACTTAGAAAAGTGTTATTTGTTTATTTTAGAATTATGTACTAAGCCCCAATCTTAAGTGAACTTAAACACATATTTTTTAAATGTGTAGATAATTGACACTAATGATTCGAGTAAACACTCACCTCCATTCCCAGCAGTTTCAAGGCTTTGGGCTGTTTAAGGGGGAAAAAAAAGAAGTGTCCTGAACTTGGGACTTTTCATCATTGAAGTAAGAAAATGACTTAGCAGTACTACATTTTAAATATGTAATATGTTGTTGTTAGGTGCCATTGAGTCACCTGTGACTCATAGCAACCCTACATACAGCAGCTCGGAAGCCTGCCCTATCTCTCACCGCCTCCAACACAATAATCCCCATTGCCCCAGCTACTAAAGACTTTATTATGTAACATTTATTCGTTTCATAAAATAAAACACCTTAAAGAAAAACTATAATCTATGCTCTTGGCACCAGCAGTCGGGAAATCAAAAGGTGAATTACGCTAGGAAAATCTGCAGTCGGGGACCTTTCCAGAGTGCTGAAGAACAAGAATGTTAGGCTAGAGACTAAGCTGTGCCTGTTCCAGGCCATGGTCTTTGCAATTACTTGCTATGAGTCAGATAGCTGGACAGTGACTAAGGAAGACAGAAGAAGAATCTATGTCTTTGAGTTGTGGTGCTGGAGAAGAGTATCGAACACATCATGCACCGCCAAGAGAACAAACAGGTCTGTATTGGGGTGAAACCAAGTTGCTCCTTGGAGGCATGGATTTTGAGCCTTCATCTCACATACTTTGGGCATGTTGCCAGGAGGGATCAGTCCTTGAAGAAGGAAATGATGCTTAGAAGGCTGAAGGGACCGCCGAGGAGAGGATGATCCCAGAGGAGGTGGATTGACACAGGAATTAGGGTCATGAGGAGAGGTGTATCGGAGAATGTAATCATGTTCAATCTTACTCTATCCTCCAGTCTCTGCTTTCCTTACGTTCCATTGTTGCGGTCACGGGGTCAATCCATCTCACTGATGGTCTTCACTCCTTCACTGACCCTCCACTTTGCCAACTGTGATGCCCTCCTTCAGGGACTAGCCCTTCCTGACTAGTCCCTCCTGACAAAGTCTCACCACCCTCACCTCTAAGAAGCATTCCAGTTGCACTTCTTCTAACAGAAATCTGTTAATTCTTCTGCCACCCATGTGATAGTCAATATTCTTCACCAGCACTACAGTTTAAAGACATCACAGGTCTTTGTCTTCCTTATTCACCATACAACTTTCACAAGCATAGAAAACAATTGACAATGCCATGGCTCGAGTCATTAGCACTTTAAACAGGACCTTGACAATGGGACACATCCTTTTATTTTTGACTGTTGCTCCCATGGATGTTGTCTGTGGCTGCAAGTAAAAAGAAATTCTTGCCAACATCAAACTTTTCTCTGTTTATTGTCATGCTGGTCCAATTGTGAAAAGTTTGTTTCCTTTGTAACCTGTACTGAAGGCTTTAGTCTTTTATCTTCTTCAAGAAATGCTTCCAGTTCTCTACTCTTTCAGCAAGCAAGGTTGTGTCATCTGCATCTTGCACATTGTTAAAGAGTCTGCCTTTAATTCTAATGTCACAGTGTTCTTCATATAGTTTAGCTTCTCAGATTATTCGCTCAGTGTATAGACTGAATAGACGTGATGAAAGGATGCACCCCTGATACACAACTTTCCTGAATTGATATCATGCAGTAGCCCTTTGTTCTGTTTGAATGACTACTTCTGAGCCTATGTATAAGTTTTACATGAGCACAGTTAAGTTTACTGGACATGCCATTCTTCTTAATGTTATTCATAAAATGATCTACACAGTCTAATGCCTTTTCATAATCAATGAAACATAATTAAGCAGCATTCCAAGTACCATCTGACTTCAGTAATGATATGTCTCTTTCCATGCTCTCTTTTAAGCAAACTGGAATTTCTGAAAGTTCTCTGTTGATGTACTCCTCCAGGTGTTTTTTTTTACAATCTTCAGCAAGATTTTACTTACATATGATATTAATGATATTGTTCAATAATGTCTACATTCTGTTGGATACCTTTTTTTTTCTTTTTAAATGGGCACAGATATGGATCTCTTCAGTTGGCCAGGTAGTTGTCTTCCAAATTCTAAGCATAGACTAGAAATTATTGGATTATCACAGTTGCATAATTGATATGCAATTTCTAGGACCTTACTTTTTATCAATGCCTTAATTGCAGCTTGAATTTCTTCCTCAGCACGATTTGTTTTTGACCAGATGTTACTTCCTGAAATGGCTCAGAGCTGACCAGTTCTTTTTGGTATAAACATTGTGTATTTCTCTCTTCTTCTTTGAATGTTTCCTGAATTATTCAATACTTTGCCATGGAACCATTCACTATTACAGCTTGAGGCTTGAATATGCCCTTCGATCTTTGCAATCTGAGAAATGCTGAGTATGTTTTTCTTTTTTGGTTTTCTAAACCCAGGTATTTGCACGTTTCATTGTACTAATTTGCATTGTCTTCTCAGGCTACCCTTGGAATCTTTTGCTCAGCTTTCTAACTTCATCACTTCTTCCTTTCATTGTTGTTAGTCGAGTAAGACTCATAGTGACCCTATGAAACGCAGATCTGAACCCTATCCTGTCCTGTGCCAGCCTCATACTTCCTGATTCACAAGAGCTATTGCAGCAGTCACCATGTCAATCCACCTGGTTGAGGATCTTCCTCTCCTTCATTGACCCTCCACCCTCCTTTCATTTTAGCTTCTCTGAGTTCTACAGCAAGTTTCAGAGCCTTTTCTAGCATTCATTTGGGTTTTTCCTTGCTGCTTGATTCTTTAATGGTATTTTGCTTTCTTCATGATGATAGACTTGATGTTATTCCACAAGTCATATGTCTGTCAGTCTTTGTTTCAAATTTATTCTTGATATACTTTCTAAACTCGGGTGGTATATCTATTTATCTATTATCTATCTATCTATCATCTATCTTATATCCCTATCTCTATTTCTAATATCTATCTATCTATCAAAGATGGAAAAGGAGAGCAGATCCTGCCTTCCTAAATGTTGTTACTAGGTTCCGTCGAGTCAAGTGCAACCCATAGTGATCCTATGAACAACACCTCAGAGCCTGGACCTGTCCTGTGCCATTCTCACCATCTCTCACATCCTGTGCCCATTGTTGCCATCACTGTAACAATCTTTCTTGCTGAAAGTCTTGTTCTCCCTTGCTACGTAGTCTCCCTAAGTTGCACCAGCACCCTCATCCTTTAAGAGGACACCCATAAAACAAAGCAGGAGCCTCACCCTCTTGGGCCCGAAGAGGTTGTGGTAGAGGGTGCGGAAGCGCTTGCGGGTGTAGTTGCAGCGGTAGGCGCCGCCCATCAGGTACTCAATCACCAAGCCAATATCGATCAGGCTGATCCTGTAGTCCGGGGGCAGGTTCCCCTGTCAGGGAAGAACGGAGCAGACAGACACACACACAGATCCAAAAGACAACGTGGTTTACTAGGGGCTCCGCGCTACGTGCTCTGTAACTATTTTAGAGTTAAAATAAAAAAAAAAATTAATGAAAAAAAAGAAACATATGAATGTATTATTAGGCTGGTTAATTCATTCACCTTAAAATAGATCCAACCGAAACCTGGATATTCTCGCTTGGAAAGAAGACATAAGTTAAATAAGAAGGTGCAGTAACCGTCGACAATAACAGAAAATTACGTCAAAATAGTTATTCAAATCTTCAGCTGGGGAGAAAAAAACACCAGTGTAGCAGAAAGAAAATACAAAGATGGACATGGCAAATGTGACTGCTCCCAAAATAGGTTCTGTGGGGCCCCACACCTTGGTCTGTCTCCTACCGTCATCCTAACTTACTTTTTCTCACTTTTTCAGTGAAGACTCTTCCAGAAAACTGGGGTTGTACCAGGGCCTGCCTCAGCTCAGAGATAGAGTGCAAGTCTCCTTTAAAATAAAATCTCTATCAGCACTTCTCCCCCAAATTTGGCACCTTTTCTTTCCATAAAGGGAGAAAGGCCTTTGGGTGGGATTTGGGGTGACAGGACAGGGTGGTAAAGTAACAGTGGTTTTAAAGAGGAAGCTGGAAGGGTGGGAGAAATTAGTTTATCAGTGGGATATTGATTTTGCCAGAATTCAGGAAGTTCTCTGAAGAGAACGATTCTTCCTCTTTTAGTATGTTAGAGGAAGTTTACTAGTCATCTGGTTTTTTATACAGTGAGTGATGTTTTTTAAAGATAATAGCACACCTGAGTGTTTGCCATGTTAGGTGCAAAATGAGAAAAAAGTCAACTACTACTCAGAGCAACTCTATGAACAACAACTTAGCCCTATGTGGTTCACAATTGGTGGTTCTTTGAAGGGGGTCAGAATCGTTTGAGGACTTGGTGGTAATACAGATGCACAAGCCCTGGTAGACCTGGCCTCTGTGTATACTTTCAGCTCCTCCAGTCATCCTGAAGCATGCCGGAGAACCTCTGGTTTACCTGCCCAAACAAGGGCCAGGTGGCAATGGTAGCACATATGTGATTCTTAGTTCAAAAGAACCACTGACAGTGGAAAATCAAGTCATTATGATAGATTGAGTGTGGGTTTCATAGTCATCCTCACTCAACATTCCTCTGGTCAGTAGTGTTTATCTGAAGGTGTGGGGACACGCATTGCATTCCATCATTAAACTTATGCCTTTCTTTGTATTCCTAATGCTTTTATAGTTCCTTCTCAATGGTAGGGACTACAACTCAAAAACTCACTGCCATCAAGTTGGAATTGAGTCATAGCTGAACTGCCAGTGGGTGAACAAGGCTGTAGATTGTGTGGGAAGAGATTTCCCATCTTTCTCCCTTGAGGCCACTGTTATATTATAATTATTAGATTATCATATATAATTATTATATTATATTAGAATATCTGAAATTGTGAATGAGTAAACCAGTGAAATTATGTGATGTGGACTGGGGTCAGGACTGGGATTAGGCTTTCATTGTTGCTCTTTGATCTTTGATTGAGCTAATATTTGGCATAGTGACAGAACTAAATATTCACAGTGTTTCAGTCACCCCCTGCCTGGAACAGTTCTCATTCCCAGTGACACTTTGCTTTGCATTACAGCACCTGGCATTTGGTGGCTATTCTCAGCAGGGTAGGAACAGAGGGACAACAGTCGAAACTTTCTTGCTGTCCCCAGACTTAGCTCCCACCTCTGCTCACTGCCTTCCACATTCTCCCGGGGCCTGGGCACACAGTGCGTTTAGGGATCGTCCTAAAAAGGGTGTACTTTGTATGTGGGTGCAGAGCGCCCATCACTTTTGCCCATCAGAGCCCAGTCTGTGAGCTTTTTCCTTCACTGAATTGACGACTGTTCACTGAAAATGTTCTCTGTCACTCTCCCTGCAGGACTCAGAATTTCCAAGTGTCCTTTGCTTAAAGATGACCTCATCAATCTAATGGAATCCTCAGTTGAGCTCTCTTCGGGCTATCAGGCAAGACCAATTGTCTGACTTCTTCATGCCAAGCATGAGGAACTGCAAGAAAGAGAACTCAGAGAAGGGTTTCTTTAAGACTGATATACTTTTCATCCATCCCTATTTTTCTCTATTACTTAGGGGTGAGCAAGGCCAAGGTTTCTGTGCCCTCTGGCTCTGCTGAACAGCTAGTAAGGCTGTTATAATGGGTAAACGAGGTGAAGTATCTGGATATCCCAGGACATGCTGGCACCTATAAGGGCACCATTTATTTATGTCTGCCAGCCAAGAGCAGACCTACTCCATATGTATAACTTTCCTTCAGAGTGGGAGGCTGGAGGCATGAGGAACTATGAGTTTGGTGGTATGGGCTCCTAAATGTCCTCAGTAACTAACCATCTTCCCTCAGTTTTCCTCTCTGTTCAAGGGGGTTGAACGTTTCTTTATAGTTTGTAATGTCCAAGTTCCAGGCTAACAAAGACCACACTGACGACTTCGTTGTAGTATTACTGAAAGACTTCAACAACTGCTTTCATAATTCACTCTTCATATAATTATAATAATTTCCTAAATTTAAGCTGTGGTTATCATGTGAGTCGGAGGACTATTTTCTTCTTTTGAGAAACCTAGGTGTGAGGGTCATCTTGATTTCTAGGAATAAAACACTAATATTTCCTGAAGTGTAGTGTTGAGCGGCCATATTTATGCTTTTGAGGTGATTCTGAGAGTGGGAGTTGTCAAGAAATGGATAATATTAAGAGGGACAAATATTATGAAATTATTTCTGATGGGTCATAGTTGTTGTTGTTGTTGTTATGTGCTGTTGAGTAGCCTATGACTCACAGTGACCCTGTGCACAATAACTCTGAACTCTGCCGTATCCTGAGCCCACCTCACTATCTCTGATACGTCTGCCTCCATTGCCTCCGTTGTGTCAATCCATCTCACCCAGGGTCTTCCTCTCCTGCACTGTCCCTCCACCCTTCCAAGCATGATGTTCTCTCCAGGGACTGGTCCCTCCCGACAAAATGTCCAAAGTGTGTGAGATAGATGCTCAGGGAACAGCTTGTTTGTTCTCCTGACGGTCCATAGTATGTTCATTACTCTTTTCCAGCAAGATGTTTTATTAGGGGGATGGATCTTGAACTCTGGTAGCATTGTCCCTAGAGAGTTGCACTGCTAACTCAGAGGTCATGTCTCTCTGGAGTTTCGGATCCACCAGTGGCACTTAGAGAGAAAATAAGCAATATTCTGTGCAATTAATTTCTAGTCTATGAAAACCAATAGAGGATCAGCAGTGAGTGAGTTCTGACTTGATAGCAATGATTTTTAGGTAGGGTTTTTTTTTTAAGTTAGGGGCCATGTTGCTAAGAAGTGATGGACTCTCTTCTCTGGAAACTGTACAAAGTGTGACTGTTTTGGAACTGTTTCTGTCTGGTTGGCTAAGACTCTGGAGAAAGGGCTATCTGTGATCATTCCAGAGTTGTGCTGACAACACAAAGGTTCAAATCCACGAACAACTCTGAGAGAGAAAGATGGACAATCTCCTTTAGTGCAATTCACCAGTCCATTCTGACTTACTGGTGAGCAACAACCGTCTCTGACACTTCAAGGGAAATCTCTCAAGAGAAACACTTCTCTCTGCACTTGCAGTATGTGAGCACAAGGTGGCGATGCTCACCGATCCGAGGCCGCTGAGGGTCCCTCACCAGCATAGGCCAGTTAACAAGGCGGGGTGAGAGTGGGTGGGAACAAAGGCAGAGCAGTTTAGGGCAGAGAGAGAGTCGGATACTCTGGTTGAAGTGGCATCCAGAGCAGGGAACTTTCATGTTACTAAGCCTTTTGTTCATAGGGTCGCTATGAGTGGTACTTGACTTGAAGGCAATCATCATCATCATCATCAACAACAACATGTAATATATTTGTATTGACCTTGCATGTCTGTATCTGATTTGTGGACAGAGAAGAAAAAAAAAAGGAATCTAGTTTTTAATTTTAGGGAGGTCTGGTAGCTTTGAGAAATGAGAGTTACAGAAAGGCTTCGACGGCATTTAACAACAACATAACAACTGGTAGCCTAGTGGTAAGAAACTGCACTACAGTCCTGGAGGTCTGCAGTTCAAATCCACCAGCTGCTTGTGGGGAGAAAAATGGACAATCTCCTCCGATGCGATTAAACTACCTCTGAAAACCCGCAGGAGGGTCAACTGTGGGTTGGTTCTCACTTGATGATCCACAACAACAAGTTTTAAATTTGTTAGTAGAAACGGTGGGATTTTTTGGGAGCTCTGCTGATACAGTCTGTAGGGAATTATACTGTTAATCCCAAAGCAGAGGGAGCTCTGGTGGTTTGGTGGTAAGGATTTGCAGGGCTGACGCAAAGGGATGTTGTTCTAATCCACCCTGGGAGAAAGATGGGCAATCTCCTCCCGTGTGATTTACAACCTCTGAAAATCACTGGAGGGTCAGCTCTGGTTCAGTTTCCATCTGGTGGTGCACAACAACCACACCCCCAAAGCTTTGCCTTTCTGTTGGCTGGAATCCGCCAGCAGCAACTCGGGAGAAGACGGACCATCTCTTCTGCAACAATTTCTTGCCTCTGAAAACCCTCTGCACACTGAGTTGAGTTATTTCCAACTAGACGGCAATGAGGCGGTGGGGGATTTTGAGCGAAAAAGGAACAGATTTTACAAAACTAATAGAACTAGATACATTTTACATTTTTGGCCTCCTTGGGATGGCTAGGCTCTGTAGAGGCCGTTAGCATAGCTTGAGGTGCTGAGCCTGGCCTTGGCCCCATGTGGCCTGCGGATGTCAAAGATGGGGTAGCCTTCTGACTGGCATTGCTGGGACTGTGGCTCCCGGTGCCCTGGGACTTAGCCCTGGTTCTGTGCCGCTGGGATTTGGGCTTCTTCTCTCTTGCCTCAGTTTACTCTCTGACATGGACTTTAAGGTCTTGTCTATTTCTGAAAGTCCCATGGTATGACCACATCTATTTTCTAGGCTGTCTGGTCTCTGGGCAAAGACTCTGGCATCCAGGACTGATCCTGAGAAGCTGGGGGTGCTGAGAAAGAAGTGGAAGAGGGGAACACATGGATAGGGCTGTGCTGTTGTCTCTGTTAAGAGCAAAGAAGGTGACCAGCACTACACAGACGCGGACCACCAGGTAATGCCCA